AAAATTTTAAAGAAAGAATTATACAATGGCAATAAAAATTATACTTATGTAAAGATAATATTTTCTCAGAGTAATATTGAATAAAGTTTCAATCGATTGGAGGAATTCTTTTAAAATTGTAACGATGAATGTGTGGAAAATTACAGTTTTCGTAGGCATGTACATATATTTCAACGTCTGAATAACCGTCTTCTTTTGTGTTCTTTGGGTGCTCAGCTCCAAATAGAAAGCGAGGATGTGGAGGCAGAAGAAAGAGAGAATACATGTATATACATACGTACACTGTGAGACTGCCAATATTGAAAGAAAAAACTTTATATATATACATGTATGTACACATAAAAAAATAAGCATTACTGTACAACGAAGCTCCTCCTTCTTCCTTGGAAATTTTTTAATTTTGCGGTTGACCCTGCGGTTGACATGCAACGCAGTTGTACATTGACAACAGTAGAGTTTCATCAATTACGTTTTGAAGATCGTTCACAGGTTCGTGAGAATATCATTTTTTAGTTGTAAAGATATTTTTATGTATCTTCAAAAAAAAAAGAAAGAAGGGTAGATGAGAAAAGAAGAGAAAGTATCACCACTTTATTACTAAAAATGTATACAAGAGTTTTGTAAGAAAAATGGATGACTTGAAATTTCGCTAACAGTAAGCAAAGAGATGCACTGGCTTCTCTTCATCTCATTCATTATTTCTTTTCCCTCAGGGATACTGCGGCAAACGAAAGAAGCTCAACGAAAAAGTAAAGAGACTAAAGAATAAAAGAGAAGCTAACACAAAACATCACATCGCCATGTGTCGTTGCCACTAAATTCGTGAACATGAAGGAGACACAAGATATTTACTCGACACATATCCAAATCTTTTATTTTTTTTTCTTTTAATGCCTTCCTTATTTTTCCCTCGACACTTATGACAGTTTACCGGCTTTTTCAACTGTTTCAGAAGACGTTAAATTGTCTTTAAAACACAAGCAACATGTCATTCTGCTTACGTATCACTTGAGAATTGTAACAAATGTACTGGATATTTAATTATTTGAACAAAAAAAAAAAAGAAAGATCTTTGTATACAAAGTACATTAATGTCTACACATATACAAAGTTTAATAGAGAACGTGAATATTTCGAGAAAAATGTGCTGGAAGTTAAGTGAGTACAGTCACAGTCTGGTGACAGAGAAGCTCATTATTACTTCCGGTATAAAACGAGACGGAGCAAAAGAAGGAATAGAGAGACGCGAAGAGGAGAATCAGAGGGAGAAAAATCGAGTACGATCGAGCACATACACTTTAAAATATCCAACAACTAGGCACATCCTCATAATGGAACAGCGTATCAAATTCATTAGAAGCCGTTATATCGACAATAGAAAATAACACATTTGAATAACTTACATATAAAATCTGCTCCAATTATCATTCTAATATTTATAAGAGAAATTTATTTCATAATATTATTTAATCGTAATCATAGTGAAAATTAATTAGCAATTATTGAAATTAAAATTTTATTTTAATATTTCACATCATCATGGGATAGAAATAGAAAATAGAGTTTATCATAGGTCATGATGATCAGTTTTCTGGAGACACGTGATGTAATTTGGCCGCCATTAACATGAAGAATTAAAATGAGAAGCTGGCTAATTGCATGTGTAAATTACTTGTACATACACGTAGTTAGGAAAAATAAAGGAATAGTAATTTACAGAAAAAAAAACAAGTGCTGTGAGTTGACATCAATTTTTTTTTTTTGCACAACGCACAACGTGCGTCCACGTGGCCATGACGTAGAAAATCAGGACGTCCGTAATTTCAACTACTTTACTGCTTTAGTTGGATTTCTTCCGCGTGGGCCAGTGAACTTGATTACAACCACTTCGAAACATTTCCAACAGTAATGATAAATTATCATAAAAGCTAATAGATAAATATTTACATGTGTTTTTATGTATTAACAAATAAATGTGAATGCCCTGAAATGATCGAATGGAATTTATTACATGCTTTTTTTTTGATTGGTCAAGGGCGTTTTTAAGTAACTGAGAATTCCCTGCAGTCACCGAGAAAATCTAGACGGAAGTGCGATCGATAACTCGAGTATGCGCGATGTTAGAGAATATATAGCTATTTAAGTAATGATTGGAAATTTACACTGAATCTATTATTGAAAATAACAATTGACGCAGATGAAAACTTGATTGATCGTCAACATGATAGCAAGAAAATTTTTTTTTCTATTTAATTTGAAAACACGAAATGATTAAAATAAACGAGAAATAGTGTTGTAAATGTAAATGATAAAGAAGGATCTTTAAATCAGAACTAATTCCCAAGCAAACTCAACCCAATGGCGTACCCGTGCGACCATGACGATGATTCACATTCAGGTACGTCAAACTGGTTCCTTTAGACCTCAGAGAGTTGAGTTTGGCCCGGAAACACAATGCATCAAGTGATGTGAACTATGAGAGAGCATGAGAGCAAAATAAAAAAAAATAAAAATCAACCCTTCAGATAAAATAATAAAATATTTGCTATAAAGTCGTAGGGTGAGAAGAGAAGAGACTCGGGGGGAATAACATCTGGGAAAGTTTTCAAGTTAGACAGGGAATTTTGTTCTTGAGAGAGTTCGAGGTCGAAAGATAGAAATACATATATATAGATGTTAAAAGTTTCCCTTGGTCTCCTGTCGTGTTTCCTTCGATGGGCATTCATCGACAATACGACCTCGTAACAATCGATTTTCTCCTTTTGATTATATCTCATTCTATTTTCAAGCTCAAATAAATGTCGACTTCATTATTAATTGCACATATATTACATTTATTTTGAAATTTAATAATAAATATTTATCATAATGAGCTACTAATAGAAAATTCATCATGAAAATAAATCAACATATCATTGTAATAAATTAATTATTAAATTTTAAATAAATATATTTAAATGTATAAATGGGGAAAGATGTCAGAATGTGTTAGTATAAACGGATGAGAAAGTGAGAACGGACATTGAATCAAAGGAAACGACGCAGGGATTGGTCAATGGCACGCGTAATCGATTCTATGTCTCTTCATTCCTACTCTTAATCCTCATCTATCTCTATTTCGCATAGAATCATATACACATATATACCATCTGCCTACACACATAACTTATATCAGTTAAACATTCTATTATCTGATACATGTACACGATTGGTTATTTTTTTCTGTTACCTACTTCAACAAAACTAACGAAAAAGAGATAATGATTAAGCAAAATCATGGAATCGTACGTTGAAAGAATTATGTTAAAAGAAAACCGGTCATTCTAAAGAAAGATCAAACGAAACTGGAGGTTGAGGCCACTGGGAGAGTCATGAGTTGCCTAATTCTTTCAAAGTCACACTTTCGCAGAGAATTTACTTTTACTCCAAGAATTCGGATATTCGTTTCGATTCACGCCTGTTAAATCGATTTTTATTCATAAACTTTTGACTTCTTCATCATCAACTATTGTCAGTAAATTAAAATCTTCATCTTGACTTTTACATTTTAATAATACAAAACAATTTAATTTTTCATTTATTTGTATAGACATAGATTTAAATGTTATTCATTGGGGTAGGTTATATTGAATTGATAAATTTATTTAAAGGAATACTGAGAATATTGAATGTTTCAAGAGTGAATGAATAATTAAAGTGTAGACTTAAGAAAGTCTAAAATGAAAAGATGGGAAGTTATAAGACGTGATACACCACTTCTTTTAGAACAAAAGAAACTCGTCCTTGCTTACGGTTGGTTCTATTTATATATTCTCATGTACAAACGTTTAAAACTCTCGTTCAATTTTATTACTAATATTACTAACAATAAATTCATCTAAAGAAATTTATACCAGTAACAGATGTACTATCTAAAATATATTCTTAACGGTATTGAAGTTTGAAAATTTCAGTCTTGAATTCTAAATAAAATTTTCAAATTTTTATTTAAAATTATTATCACGAATTAAATATATACATACATATATATTTCATGGAAATGAACCCACATCAAGTTTCATTTCTTTGGGATCAAAAAAAAAAAAGTCAAGAGCGATAAAGAGCAAAACCAAAGAAGCCGGTCCTCAACCATTTATTCCAAAGTCTGGGAACGCGATTTTGAAGACCCAAGTGTCGACGAATTTCGTAGGTTTCGAAGAATTCGACCTCAGTCTCGCCAATCTCGCAAGGTTATCCACCTCCCTCAATTCACCTTATGCTTCACAGTTTTGTAAGATCGAAGGACGTCAATCTGATGATTTGCAGGGATTTCAAACCTCTAATTGACTTTATAATTAAAGAATAAGAAACCAGATTGGTCTAGAAAAAATGTAAATAAATAAAAATGTCAGATATAAAAAAATAAATTAAAATACTAACAAAAAATCGATAATTGGCAGATAATTAAGGAGCTGTTGCAAATGTTTGCCGGTAGAATCCACGACCTACGTTTACTTGCACACATATTCAGCCCCTCCACACCATGACCTACACCAATACAGCGAGCTTCGAGTCTACACGATGAATTCATAACTCTCGTTAACGAATTTTATATTGGAAACCATTTATTTAACTTCGTTATTTGAGTACTTCAACTTTTGACCGTTACACTCTAAATAAGTTCTTCGAAATTAAAATATACATAAAGAACGTCATGAGAGCCACTGACTGATCGCGCGAAACATGACTGTTCAATTAGTCAAATACCTATGAGAGTGTATTCTCAAATTTATCACGTTTCTCATTTCTTTTTGCCATCATTTTCATCACTAACACGTGATCAGATTTTTTTTAAGCATTTTTCATGCCAGTCAAGAAATAAAATAACAACCAACGGAAGTGTGCGATACTTATTAAAACAAAAAAGTTAAAACTAAGTTTTAGTATAGAGTGTTGGAATTATCATTTTTTTCTGGTAGACTTGAAAGTAAGTTTTAAAATAAATATGATAAAAGATTTACCTTGTCGGCCAACGATCTCCGCCACGTGCTCACTGCTGGGCACAGGAACGCACTCAGTCATATTCTGACTTTTCTTGGATCTTGCTTCTTCGAAGACGCTGCTTGGTGTTGCTTGTAGAGGATCTGTAGGATCAGAAGCTGTACCATTTCCTGGACCAGTACCTCCGGTACCAGGGCAGCCTTGAGTTCCATCAAGACTCAACATTGAAAGCTCAAACGCAAGTTGGAGAGCACGCTGTTCTTCAAGAGAACCAGTGCCACCGGCACTTACGCCACGATCCATATCGCTGAATAAACTTGCCGGCATGTTGTTTCCACGCTTATTTGACGATCACGACGATTATTAATAACACCGCGATTCACTTTACTTTCGACAATTGAATAATGTTAATCACTTTGATTATTGACACGTTGAATTTTCGTCGATAAATTGATGATGATTGAGCGTATGTATATTTATAGTGGATGGGAGGAGTACGATAGTAATGGTGATAATTTTCCTTTTGTTTCACTTACAAGATCTTTGTCTACTCTATACTCCCGCAGATGGTGTGAAGCACAGAAAAACGATGATGAGAGGATGGCTCTGTACAAAAATAAATTATCAAGTCTTGATACCTTCCTCTAGCTTGTCTCTTTTCGGTATCTGCGTGTTCTTCACACAAACACGCGTACTTCTCGTCTTTTCCTTTCTGGTATGAAGGTCGTGAGTTCGTTTGTATTCCCTTGAACGGGTTGCTTCGATCACTTTCTTCGTAACGTACCTCTTTTTGTCTTTGATTCCAATTCGTCGTCTTGATTTATAATTAATACCTCCTTTGTTTATTTTTGATCTGTTATAATTTCCTTCAAGTATTATGATTTAACATTTATTATGTCTTTCACTAATATTTATGCAGTATTACTTCAGTATAAGTTCACTCGTTAAATTACTTATCCGCGGGTAATTTAATACACGCGACGAGTAATCAAATTATTTTTTACTCGCTTGTGAATTGAATTACCTCGGCTGCGTATTATTTCTCACTTATATTATTCGTGTCTCTAAATTAAAAAGGACAAGTGAGTTGTTGTGTATGTTTCAACCGAGAGCGTTCGCGCGAGACTAAAACTTGCAATGTCTTCCTTTTCTTCAAAAGACAGACGCATACGACTACCCTCTCGCTCGAGTGCCACTGCGACTGACTGCGACGAACTGCGTCTGCGGCAAGCAGCCGGTACTCCGCCATGTGCTGGACGCCGGCTCTGCGCTGCTCTCATTGGCTCATTCAGTCACGTGGTCATTCATTTTCCCTTTCTCCATCAACACCCTCCTCGACGAAACGTAGACACGACACGACCGACAGCGCCACTGTGTGGACACTCGCGCACCCGCGTTCTCGCTTGTTCGGTCGACCGTTGCACTCTTCCTTCACTGTCTCTCTTACTCATGCTTAGCTTTAGACACGCGTACGTTGTACCGTACTGAGGTACTGAATAACACGTAAGTGCGTTTTTCATACCCTACAGCCAACACCCGAATCGGGGTGACTTTTTAAAAATTTTCATGTCAATATTTCTAACCCTCACGCGACATTTTATTTCCAAAATGCTGCTTACTGTGAATTCATTAATAATATTATTGGGGTGAATGTACTGGTTAAAAGATTATTAACAGCTGAAATGAAAATTTTAAATTAATTTCTTTCTATGTTCATTATTTATAATGAACATAATATTATGTATGAAAACATTAGTCATAATAATGTTAATTTTAATTAATTTTTGTTTTAATTTTAAACATTTTTTAGTCTGACTCACACCAATAATTACGTTTAAATAATTATCTAATGAAGTCATATAGAATAATTGTTATTTTCATATTGATATTTTAATTATAAATAAAAATAACTTTATTGAAAAAAAGTTTTACATCATTTAAACTTTTGAATTCGTTGTTAATTCAAAAATAGTGAATAAATAATTTCTGTTAACTCAAGAATCCTAAATTAACATCGTTTGGAGTTTGAACTAACTTACATGCATAGTAAGTCATGCATAGAAGATGGAAAAGTTGCTATTAGTTCACAATAACTGCTCTAATACCATACCTGAAGACATGGCTGCTCATCGCAAGTCCCAGAAACCATGATTACTCTGATCGGTCTTAACTTAAAACTTTTAAGAACAAAAGTAAACTGAAGGCTTTGCTGCATCCTTGGACCTATAATAAGATCATTAAACAATTCTCACAGCAGGCTTTTACTTATAATTTCGGTAAATGAATTGTTCTCTGGATAATTTACCTGAGAAACTACATTGTTGATCGAAGGTCAATTAAATTGTTACCAGGCAATAAAACCAAAATGGTCAAAAAGAAATTCTTGCGTTACTTTCATTGTACCTTTTCTGTACGAACTAAAATTTTAAAATTTACAATACCATACTAACACATTTTTCCTCCCCACTCATTTACTTGTACACCAATTTCGTCTTTTATTATTTCTGGACTTATCCTTGTAAAATTTTGTTACACCCAGAGAATTGTCACTAACTTTCATTTCTTTATTTTGAAAATTTTAAGTGTATGAGTATATGACTATTACTCCAACACCAGGAGTAATAAAATGATCTTTCCACACTATCTATTGAAATTTGACAATACTAACACAAATACATAGCAAATATAGCTCTCAATTCCGTTACTTTTATTAAAATGTAATGTATTAACACATTTACAAATACATTACTCCGAAAAAATAAACTATGTATTGAAATTCTATGAACACCTGACTATTTTGAATAACTAAATAGTTTTATAACATAATTGCGAAAAAGCAAATTATAAAAAAGACGAGTTCATTTAACTATCGAAAACCGGACGTATAAAATTATTCTTAAACTACATATTGCTTATATTTATTCTTTATCTTCGTCTGTTAATGTTTGACTGATCTAACAACTGATATACTACTCAATTTGCAGCAATTAAATAAAACATGCAAAGATATCCAATTAACCATTATTTATTTTACGATTACTACTATCATAAAAACTATAATCAACAATGCCATTGTCTTTGCTAGATCATAAAATTTCTAGTGTCCATATATTTGGCTCAATAAATAATGCAAATATCATATAAAAATCAAGAAACTTGGAATACTTTAGTAACTTTTATCTGCTATAAGACTCTCCATGCTACAATACACTTTATGCTAGTTTATAGTTTCCTTCAGTTCACTGCTGAAGTTCTTTCCATTAAATGGAATACATTCATATTGATATTTATTCATCTATTTTTATCAAGCCTATTTACTGACATATTTGTAAAGACTCAGGTAAAACTTTCAGGGAAGATTGCTTCGCTTTGGTAGTTTAGTTTGACCGACAGCCACTTTTCTTTCTGGATCGTGAAGACTAAGCTGAAGCAACGACCCGAACGTTCAAGGCTGCCACGACCATGCCGTTTGCCTGAAGCACCTGCCTTACCCAAGCGACCATGCGTTCTTTCTGCCCCGTCAGATATATCCACTATTTTGTCCTTGCTATTTTGCTGAATGTTCAATTTGTCATCCTATTATATTACTTCCTTTGATTTATTTCACACATTTCATTGGTACTGACTCCATTGATGAATGTTTGAGTGGAACTAAAATTGAAAAAAAAAAATAAAACCAACAAAAAGTTCAACAACCAACACAATGTAAAGTTCAATATTGCAGCATGGTGAATATAAATGTTTTTAACTTTAGTAAGGGTAAGGAATTGGTGACAAGAGGATATGCAGCAGTTTCTGGTCATAAGCATTAACCAAGTTCTTCGGGCAATGGTCGTCGCATTTTTAACGCGTGCAACCGGTTGCCTCTGCAATGATCATTGTCGTTGCTTTGCGAAACTTGCAACTCTCTCTTTGGCACGCGGGCGAGAAAGAGAATAAAAGAAAATGAGTAAGAGCAAAAGAATCAAGTTCCTTCGTGCGATACGAAACCAAGAATCTATATTTGTTGTTCCTTTTCATTTCTATTTCTTGTCTTCGGGTCATGAGCCTCGATCATTTTAAAACATTAAAAGATTAACAGCTACAAATAGTTCATTCAAAGATCATTAAAAAAACATTTAAACTACAATCAAATTTATATTAAATGACAGGACTATTTTTTATATATTCCAATATTTTATGGAGCTACTGTATTCCTTTTCAAATCGATCTACAATAGGCCGGAAGAAAAAACATGCATACAAAGGACCGGAAAGCCCTAAGGTGCTCTCATTTTCCCCAAGAACTTTGATGCTCTTCAATAAGAATCAAAAATTCTAATATGAGTTTTAATGTAATTATTATTTTACCGCCTTTCGAACAGTAAAATAAGTGGTTATTTATTCGAGCGAGAAAGTCCCCAGTCGATTACGGCACTCATGGACACCGATTACGAGACTTATTGAGAGAAAATGTAACAGATGCCTATGTCCTGACCCCGAAAAATTACCAGCTGTATATACCCCACGTTGATCAGGATCGATATATACTCTCGCTCCAAAAGTCCTCCTACCTTAGGTACATTTTCAAAACTCATTTCCCCACAGTAAAAATTTGAAACTTCACACATATGGCATGAATCGCCGGAAATTTCGTCAATTTATGCATATGGCATGATTTGACTTCCTGGAATAATATATTTCTATGTACATTTTTTTCTGTTCTTTAAACAAATCTTTTGATTCTTAAACATGAATTATAAGTTTATTAAATATTGATTCATCTTGAGGAAGTTCAATAATGACATTGGAAAACCTATTTAAATGATGTTGATGGCCAATGTTTGTTTTGATTCATGATTTTTACTGCGTTAGAATTAAACTTTGACGCTGTATCTGAAATAATTTAATCGTCTGACATTACTGCAAGATTCAATCAATGAATAGGAAAAATTATATTATTCAAATTTCGACATGAAGAAAACTAATAAACGTAAAATCGACAACGAATTCAACTCTCAGAACTTTAAATAATTCAACATCATGATTTAAAATCAACAAATCTAATAAAAAGATTTTATGAAAAGTGATTGCATCATATTGATTGAAATGTGTAACTTGAATATTACCATAATAATATCTTAACATAAAATAGAATTATATGTCACGGATGTTTAAATAAAATTTTTCAGATCATATTATAAACATCGAAAGTTATATAAATTTGTCAAGCACTGAATCATCTTGAAAAGTTTAATAGATGTAGGAGTCTTCAAAAGTGAGTGCGTAAGATTGGAAAGAAATAAACTTATAGTACATTGAAGAAACGAAAAGCCAGTTTACCACAGTTGACAATGAGGGTAAAGCTCTTTATGAACCAGGGAAACAGCTGTGGGTCGATCGCATCGTTGAGAGACAGAGTGAGAGAAGGAAGAGGTGAAAAAAAAGAGACCGTACCACCTGGCGTACCTGGCTTATGCTTACCTGAAACCGACGCTTACCTGGGGTTACTCTTTTGTACCGAAAGCATTACATCGAGCACCCGCACGACACATGAAGCCGGAGGACATCATCGAATGTTCCAAAGTATGGTTTAGTTACTAGGCTGCATGATGGTACTACTGCTGTGCATGTTATTACATCCGTTATCATGATTCTATACTTATGTTTCAGCATGTAGGCACTTATTCTGTAAAAAATCACTATATAGATCCATGAGAAGAATAGTTGGAGTCGTCACGAAGATAAAATTATATGATAATGAAGAGAAATGTAAATCTTACTTGTCTTAAAGGTTCTAAATTAGGTAGTCACGCGTCTCAAGGTCAAAGATTTTTGGAACCACCATGCGTGTTCATCGACACCCGGCATATAGCAGCTGCAAGAATACACACTTGTCGTGTGCCAGATGATCTTTAGAAAGCTTCCATTCCCCTTTATAAGCTCTGAATTCATTCTAAGGATTTTAAATGATTAAATTTAAATTTCTAATATAACAGATTTTTCAAAATTAAGTGTCTTATAAATTAATATTTTTCAAAATAATGCTTACCTAAATTGATCGTTAAAGTTCTAATTTATGACTGATACTTCTGTTGTTTAGTAAATAGTGAAAAAATACTTTCATATAAGAGTAATCCTCCTTTCAAAAGATAATTTTTTTTCTTATTCAGCTCAATATATATATGTTGAACTTGAAGAATTCAAAAATTATAAAAAAAAATTGCGTAAATTATTTACATTTAATCATAGATAATGATCAAATATTTATTTTTGAATATTATTTTAGGAGTATAAACTTGAAAGTTTTGTACTGTCTGTTCCAGTGGTTTATTTTAACCTTACATTAGATTTTCTGCACAATTCAACTATTTCCCAATTGTTCAAGGTTAGAATTAAGTGAAAAAAGTTCTGGTAGCTGCTTCCGGTCACTACATTCTATTCATTGTGTCAATTCATCAACTTTGTCACAGCTTTGTAAACTGCCAAGTAAACAGGCTTACTCTTTTGTATTTTCAACAATAAAGAAAAGTTATTTATGCTGAATGTTTCGGAAGATCTGAAGAAAATATTCTACAAACAATTCTGCATTTTTTCCTTGACTTCTTAAATGCTTGCACGGATAAATCATCTGTTCCAAATGGATTAAGTATTGAATAGAAAAAGTGTGAAGTTAAGTAAATACTAGTCAAATAGTTATCAAGATTTTTACAAATTTATAATCAATTGTTCTATTATAAATTCCGTGAACTAAATTTTTTACAAATGGGAAAAATGGAGGACATGAGGAAAAATTCCCTCGTTTTCTTGATCTACCTGAATATCACGTGATCGATACTAGCGCCGCCATCTTCATGTGTGAATTTTTTTAACATCATTTATGAAGTTGTGTCGATAAGTGTGAATAATAATGACCTTTTTTATTGTATTATTTTAGCATTGATTATTAATTTTTTATAATATTTTATGTATATGATTACTTGAATACAGGTAATTGATAAACCGCAATTGTCATCAACATTATAATCGTACTTTCATTGAAAAAGTCAGAAGAGTTTGTTATAACCTATCTTTATTTTCGTATTTATAAGGTAAACAAATTTAAAATTTCTGTTTCATTAAATGAATTTTTATCTTAGTATCATTAAATAATTTTTTTAACTGTAGGAATTGTTTTATTATTGGTTAAAAAACGTATCTAAAATGGCTACCTCTAGATTCCCTACGGTTTATTGGAATCAAACTGATAAAGATATTTCTTTGAGAATTGATATAAACAATCCCCAAGTAAGTTGTTATCTGTGTTTTTGGATGATTTCTATAATATAATTAATACGTTTCATAGACATGATTAAAATAATGAATTCTGCTAAAAATTATATTTTTTATAATCAATATACAAATGGTTTATTTTATTTTTAAGGGATCTGAAATTTCTTTTGAAGAATCAAGTATGAGGTTTTCAGCTTTTAGACAAGGAGATGCTGGTCCTGTAGAATATAATTTTACACTTAATTTTTATGATTCGATAGAACGTGAGGTAAATAAACTTTTAATTATGCATTAAAATTTTATACTTATGATTGATGTAATTCTATTATGAGGAAAAATTTTTATAGGAAAACGTATATGAACTAATTGATAAACAACTACAGTTTTTATTAAAAAAGAAAAGTGACGGTGAGTGGCCACAACTTACATCATTAGAATCTGATCCATCTTGGACTACATTAGAGCCTGAAAAGCCAGAAAAAAATATACGTAACAAAGAAAATAAAAAATCAACATACCAGCCAAGGTTTAAAAAGCTTAGTGAAGAATATGCACAATTAAATGAACAAATACACAGAGAAGAACTCGACAAACGAGATGTTCATGAAGATTACCCTAAAATGTATGATGAGCTTCATAAAGAAGAAATGGGATACAGAAAAGGTTACACAGAATGATAATTTTATGTATGATGAATCGCTATATCAGTTTTAAATCAATTAATTCATTTTACAGAGGACTTGAGAGTTGTCTATCTTGTACTTTATAATTTATGTCAATTTGTGGGTTTCATTTATGTTATTACTATTATGACAATACGATATTCACGTGAAGGTCCAGGTTTGTATTCAATCGTAATTATGGTCTAAACGTTTTTTACTTCTCAAACAAATATTTATTGATAAATTCTTAAGTACTCCTCTATTATTACAGATTCAATGGAAAAAACATATGAAAGTGTTGGAAATATTATGAAATTTATTCATCTTTTGCAATTCTTAGAAGTGATGCATCCAATGTTTGGATACACTAAAGGAAGTACTTTTGTAGCATTTCTTCAAGTTGGCGGAAGAGCTTTTGTACTCTTCTGTATGATAGAATGTGAACCTCGTATGCAAACGAAACCTGTTGTATTTTATCTGTTTTTTATTTGGAGTTTAGTTGAAGTTTTTCGATATCCTTACTACATTACTCAAGTATTGAATGTTAATATTCCTCTGTTGACATGGTTTAGATACACAATTTGGATACCTTTATATCCTTTAGGTTTTCTATGTGAAGGAATAATCATTCTCAGAAATATTCCTTACTTTGAAGAAACAAACAAATTTACTATTTCATTACCAAACAGTTGGAATTTTGCTTTTCATTTTCCAACAGTTTTAAGAATGTATTTATTGCTGCTGGCTTTACCTGGAATGTATACGATGATGTCACACATGAATGAAGCTAGAAAAAAGAAACTAGCTATCAAAAAATCTCAGAAGAAATCAGACAAAAAATCTTGAATTGATATATTCATTGTAAAATTAGAAAATGAATGCTTAATTACCATAAAAATTCATACTACAGGATATTACTACAGATGTACTATATATTTATCGTCCATTGTAGGCTTAAAATTTGTACTACTATTCGACTGAAATACTTTTTGTTGAATCTTTATAAAGCATTAAGAAATATTATATTAATGTTAAAAATTTTCTATCTATAAATACTTATAAAATCGTGTAATTATAATAGAAATTAACTGAAATATTCAGCTAAATTCGATACGAATTCATGATTTTTATAGATATTTTTTAGTGTTACATAATTATAATGTTTATTATAATAGATAAGATAATTAATTTGACGCTCTATCAATTTATTTTTATTAATCATTTACACAAATAACAATTTGTTCTACTTATTTTGATAAATCAATAAAACATTGATAAAAAATAACACATAAACGTTTTCCTATGTCATGAATTATGCATTTCAATGAATATTCATATATGTATTACGGTTTTGAAAATAAGAATTAGCAATAGTAATCACGAGATAAAAAGATTTTTTAAAGACACTTGCAACCGTGTTCAATATGTAAATACTTTTAGTACTGTAAGGTTATCAGATATTATTGGTCACGTGTATCATAAGGTTTGTTTGTGTTAGGTTTTCATTGAATGTGAGCAGTATTCATGTTTTCAATGATAGCGACATTCTCGTAGCATTATTCCCAGTGTGACAGACGTACTTTAAAGTTCTGTGGAAATTTTCCTTCTTTCTAATTGTTGATAGATTATACAATTGAGAGTTTATTTAATAACATACAACACAATGCTTCGTTTAATGAAAAATTTAAAACCCTTGAGGTCTTTCGCGACAGCTTCATTACCGGCTCCTGAGACCAATCCTTCCATTATGTATGCAGGAGTAAGTTGTTTTCTATCTAAAAATGTATTAACAATTAATCATTTATTGTTTTTTTATTATTTATAAAACTTTTTATATAGTATTATTGTTAATTAATCATTTAGGTTTCATATAACCTTAGATATATTATTTTATATTGTAGATTTTTATAGACAATGAATGGTGCAAATCACAATCAGGAAAAACCTTCGAAACAAAGAATCCTACGACAGGAGAAGTAATAGAAGAAGTTCAAGAAGGTGATGTTGAAGACATTAATATTGCTGTTCAAGCAGCTAAAAAAGCATTCAAATTCGGATCTCAATGGAGAACAATGGACGCATCCCAGAGAGGAGTTCTTCTACATAAATTGGCAGACTTGATTGAACGTGATCATGTATACTTAGCTGTAAGAATCAAGGATATTGCTACATCGCATAATCGATTTCTTGAACGTTTATTAATAGAATAAAATAAAATGATTATCAACGAAATTATATTTTTTAGTCATTGGAGACTCTGGATAATGGAAAACCTTTTTCTGCTGCTTATGCTTTTGATGTTCCTTACAGTGCATCTGTATTAAGATATTATGCAGGATGGGCTGATAAAAATCATGGAAAAGTTATTCCAATGGATGGAAACTTTTTTGGTTATACCAGACATGAACCAATTGGAGTTTGTGGACAAATTATTCCTTGGAATTTCCCTTTGTTAATGATGGCATGGAAATTAGCTCCAGCTTTAGCAACAGGTTATTAGTTGAACAATTTATCATATAATTTTGAAAAAAAAAACATACTTGAATCATAATTGTTTATCTTAAAATCTTTAGGAAATACTATTGTGCTTAAACCGGCTGAACAGACACCATTAACAGCTTTATATTTAGCACAACTAACGAAAGAAGCTGGTTTTCCTCCTGGTGTAATTAATGTAGTACCTGGCTTTGGAAAAGCCGGCGCAGCCCTTGTGGCTCATAATGATGTTGACAAAATTGCTTTTACTGGTTCTACTGAGGTTGGCAAATTGGTTCAAGAAGGAGCTGCTAAGAGTAACCTGAAAAGAACAACACTTGAATTAGGAGGAAAATCACCGAATATTATTTTTAAAGATGCTGATATGGATCATGCTGTAGAAACAGCTCATTTTGGTTTATTTTTCAACATGGTACTTTTTTGATACTCATTTTTATCACTAGATTTAATGAACTATTAAACTTTTATGGTAATTGTAGTGTATAATTAATTTTTCAAGGGTCAATGTTGTTGTGCTGGATCACGAACTTTTGTAGAAGATGATATTTATGATGAGTTTGTAGAAAGAAGTGTGGAACGTGCGAAAAAAAGGACAGTTGGAAATCCATTTGACCCGTCAATCGAGCATGGACCTCAAGTAAATATTGAATTAAATTTGAAACGAAAATGTATCTAGTTTTAGAAAATCTATTTATTCATTAAAAACTGAATTCCAGATTGATGAAGAGCAATTGAATAAAATATTACAAATGATCGACAGTGGAAAGAAACAAGGTGCCAAATTAGTTACTGGAGGTGATAGAGTAGGAAGCCAAGGATATTTTATTTCTCCTACAGTTTTTGCTGATGTTAAAGACGATATGACAATCGCCCGTGAAGAAGTAATTCTAACATAATCGTTTTTTTATCAAAAATTTTTGAAAAACTACCATGTATACAAATAATGACTGTTTTCATAGATTTTTGGGCCGGTTCAACAAATTTTGAAATTCAGCGACCTTAATGAAGTAATTGAACGAGCTAATAAAACTGATTACGGTTTGGCTGCAGCAATCTTCACAAAAGATATTGATAGAGCTAACCATCTCATCCAAGGATTGCGTGCAGGCACTGTTTGGTAATTATTTATTTTCTGAATTACGATGGCTGATTTGCAAATTTAATTTTCACTTTATCACTATAAATAATGGTTTAAGTTTTTATTCTTTGTATTGTAGTCTGATTCATTAATTACATTTTACAGGGTGAATACTTACAATGTATTAAAAAATCAAGTTCCTTTCGGAGGTTACAAGATGAGTGGACACGGTCGAGAACTTGGAGAATATGGTCTTCAAGCTTACACAGAAGTAAAAAGTGTAATTGTAAAAATCAATCAAAAGAATAGTTAATCATTTCAAAAGTTGATATTACTTAAGTTTTTTCGTTTTAAAGCACACAAATAAGACAAACAAATCAATAATTTTTTATTCTATATTTAAATAGTAGTTTTATAAATAATCAAGTGAATATTGCGTAATTCAAGTTAAAAAAGTGTATATTTTTACAATTTTTCATTTCACTATTATATTAAAATTGTAACAAATTATAAAGCTCTATTAGAAAAATCTAAAATTGATTTTTATGTATCTCGTTCTACCCTGCACATAAGAACTTTTATATTACTATAAATATTTGAATTCTTATTAATAAAAATAAGAGTCATAAATTGTACATGAATATTGATAAATTAATGTTCAAAACTATCAATCAGGTGCAGTAAGTAATGATTGAGAATCGATGTAATTTTCTGCCATTAACATTGAGCTATTCATTATTGGAGTACTTATTGTATTGCCTGATTTCTTATTTCCAAACGGATAGAAACTGTCTATGTTCATTTGAACTAAAAATGTACTTATTTTATCAATTGGCGAACTATAGCTGCCATTTAAATTGAGTTTAAGCTGGCTCACACTATTTTGTATTAATCGAGTAAAAAGTTCAATATGATTTTTTCCGCCATTGCGTATTTCCAAAGGCGGAATCCATCTAAAATAACACTGAGTCCACAATTCTAAACACGATAAATTGTACTGAGGCTTTAAAATCGTTTCTGGATCATTGGGATCAAAAAATGGACTATAAAATAATAATATATCTTGATCTGAAAATTGCTCTCGCCAATCCCAGACACTCCGAAGCACCAGATTATTCGGATCCTGAAAGAAATTTTCTTTTAGAGTATTTTAACAATAATGTTTCTCAGATTTTTTTCAATTTAAATTTTAACATTAGAAATAAGAATTAATCTTAAATATTCAAAGTTAAATCAGATATGGAAAAAAACAAACCATCGTTGCAACAGATCGATCTCTCTCACAATTGAAGATAAATGTTTCGAATATTGAAACGTGTGCTGTATCCCATAAACTGGTTAGATAAGTCTCCGTAAATTCAAATTTAGAGGGGAATTGTTGACATAATTGCCACACACAGTCAAGAAAAAGAAGAAAAATTGGAGACTAAAAAAATTATTTGTTATTAAAAATCTAAATATACTTCATAATCAAATTAAATTATAAATATTATTTACTTTTTCCGCATTTGGTTTAATGATATGACCTAATCGATCACAAAAAGGATGACCAGCAGCTACCCATTCTTTTTGAAGTAATGATTGAAATCCTGTTATCGTTCGAAAATAAGGATCTAGCAATAATTGTACTAAACTTGATATAACACAACACATATCTCTGCCAGCACTCTCTGAAATGAATCATTGCAACGTACAAATTATTGTAAATATATGTATAATATTAAAAAAAAATAGTATTTTACCTTGTAAAATAACAGAAGTTCCAGAATTTAAGTAATCACTAGCTTCAACAGCTTTTTGCAAACAATGAGAAACAAATTTTAACCATTTAGAACTCTCTAATGTCGAGTAAAAATTACTATCTTGCATCCAAAATTGCCTTATATTTTCTGTAAAATATTGAATAATTAATTTTCAATGAATATTCTGCAAAAGAATTATATTAACGAACCTGGTGCACATAATGTAACAAATTTTGAAAATCCTGCTGCGACAGTCTTAACATTAATGTCCTTATTTAAATCAATCACAGCCATTGCTAATTTTTGTGGATGACTTTTTCTTATATTTTCTAACATTATATTTTCTTGTGTTCTTTCTGTAACAGTCGGTATCAGTTCGGACATTCTAACTAACGCTGCACCTCGACTATTTGACCAAGACCATATTGGAGGTCGACCGTCTTGGAAGTGTCCGGCTGCTCCCGTTAATTGGCTGTCAGTTACAGATGCTGGAACAATTATAAATCGAGGAAGGCTAAAAGAGAAACAACAGATACTTTAATTGCTTCTATTGGAAAAAAACTATATTGGATTTTTTAATTACCTTGAAGATAATTGAAATTGATAATTAGCTGAAGATAATCGCCAACTTTTTTTGGTATGTTCGTTGCTACAAGACGTTCTTTCTAATTCACTTTGCCAATCGATCATAGTACGAAATAATTTTATTTTTTTATCTAAACTACTGTAATATGCTTCCCTGAAATAATCACCATATAATTGACCGAAATTTAAATAATGGTGATTTTTAATTTTAAAAATAATTACTTGTAATCATAAGAAAACAATAAATAATGCTTTCTGGGAAAGGCATGATGAAGGAGCGTTGTTAAAAGATTTTTGCCATGTCCTACAGGAGAAAATTTGAATGAGAATGACCACGTTCTGAAATTCTAATAAAATTATTGTTAACAATAAGTATACAAAATCAAGGAAACCAACATGTAATACAGTAGCATCCATACCTTACAAACAATAAAGATTCCTTTTACTTTGGAAGGCACACTACTACCAGGTATTAATTTTCTTTTTTTGTCCCCTGTAATTAAATAAACTTCATCGATGTTTGATAGACACGAGTCCATATATCCATAAAAATTGTTTTGCTGATGATTTATATCCTGCAATACATAATAAACTAAGATAAATAATCTTACATCATACTCAATGCCATTGATAAACTTTCAACGTTTGTTTTTGCATCAACCAAAAATCCTTCACATAGATTTATTAATAAAATACCTCTGGAGTTGAGTCATCACTAGTGATAAAAGTAAGTTTAAAATTTGTCACAGCAAGTACTCCTGAAATTCCTTGTTTTAAATCACTTACAGGTGAAAACAGTAAAACATTGTGGGCTTCAGCTATTGAGACCTCCCCTGGCAATAGTTTTATACTACTTTCACTTATAGAATTTCTTCGACTTCGAACAACAGGCTACAAATAATAGATAAACAAATGAGATTAATTCTATTATTAGAGCAAATGAATAATACATGGTAAAATTTTTTGAAAGTTTTTATTTGTTACCTGCATTTCGTGTTCTTCTTCCATCCCAACGTAACTAATAAAATTATTGCTGTTTTTATTTTCCATTATCGTTAATTATAGAATTCCAATATATACTTTTACCAATTTAAATAATGATTATTTTAATTAACAGAAAAATTTCATTTAACAATTGTTGATAGGCTTTTTTTACATTCTTTTTATATGATAAAGTTGTTCGAACATTTTTACGTTGTGACAAATTACATATTGTTTATTCTAAGTATAAAAAACTCAACATTCACCAAAATGACAGGTAATGATATTAATTTTTTTTCTCATACAGGCATGGATAAGATTTGTCTCATATGTACACACATAAATACATGTGTAAATGAATTTATGTGTACACATAAATTCTCTTTCAATGGTGAATATTCTCACACCGAGTAATAGAGTTTGAGGTTGGTTTGGTTGGTATCTTGACTATTGAATGTTTACAATTGAAGGTGCATTACCAACAATAGTAGTAGATGTCGTGATGATCGTTCATCGCGATAAACTTAATGAAAACAGCCATTATATTATTTAAACAGCAATTGTGTTAATCAAAAGAACTTTATCTATAATTGACCAAATACATGAATATTATGATCATGAAATAAACACTTGAAGTTATAAAGTATTCTATACCAAAGTAAGTAGTCAATTTATTTTATAATAAAAATCTATAAAATTTTATTGCATATTGATTATAATAAGTCAAGAAGATAAAAAGGATACAATGATTGATTGCACTTTCAAATATTATTTGTTAAATTTCTTTTATAATAATTCTCATCAAAATTTCGATTTTTTCGTCTCCATTTTACAAAATATTACATTTTTTATAATCAACTTAAATTAACAAGTACTCAAAAATCATACACAAAAATAAATTTTCATTCTTCTTTTCAATACTTTATATCTAACAAGTAAAATTATTGTAAATGATTAAAAAATTATATGCATTTTATAGTAAAGCATTAGACCAATAGATGTTATTTTATTTAAATATTACAAACTCAAATAAATAACCCATTTTACTTAGATAAGTAGGCAATTTTTTACAGCCAATGACATTTTAAATTGAATGACTTGACAATTATTGCATTAATAATTGTTAAAAATTTTTCTACATAAAAATCCACTCTATATAGTTTGTTAATAAATAAAATATTTTAATAAAGCGAAAATAAGCAATGGCAAAATATCAGCTAGAAAACCCAGGATTTGTGTGTTCAATGACACATCGACGACAATAACTTTTAACAGCTCGGTATCCGATTTTAGTTACTTTAGTACATTCTCCAATATTTAATTGACGTAATCCTCGTACATAATAAGCTAAAGCTTCTAAACCAGCATCAGTAACACGTTCACACCCACACAAAGAAAGTTTCTTTAAGTTTGGACACCCTGTAGATAGTGCTTCAAGTGTAGGGTCACCGATATCACACTTGCCAAGATCTAAAGCTCGTAATCTCGGACATCCACGTGCTAATGCAATAGTTGCAACATCACTCAAAGCTTCGCATCCACGAGCATTCAAGTATCTCAGCTTATAGCAATGCCTAGCAACGACAAGTAATCCTGCATCAGAGACTCGATCACATTTACCGACAGAAAAATATCTCAATGATGGGCCAAGTCGAGCTGCAAGTTCTCTTACTCCAAAATCAGTAATTCTGGTGCAGTCAGAAACTGATAATTGTCTAAGACCACTGCAGTAAGAAGCAATGGAAATGAGACTAGCGTCAGTGATACGTATGCACCGTCGAAGATACAAAAAAGTCAGTTGAGGGGTTTGAGAAAGTGTTACGACTATACCAGAATCATCAACACCATGGCAATCACTTAAATCTAATGACTCCAATTGTGTTGATCCCACATGAGAGTATGCTCGTGTTACATTAATGCACCCCGTTAAATCTAATCCTTTTAAATGAACGCAATTATCCAAAATAGTTGTAACATTAGAATCAGTTACTCTTCGTGAATGACGAAGAACCAGAGATGTTAAGCTAGCAAATGGTAGCACAGAAAATAGTCCAGAAAATCCAGTAGCACCTTCGACGACCAATCGTTTTATATAAGAATGACATCCACGTCTGGCGATTGATCTTAAAGCAATGGTAGCATTCTGTGGGTAACGAATTTCAACTTCTTTCCACAGTGATGGATGCCACGCTATTTCCCAAAGCTTTCTGCAAGTTTGCGCCAATATACATCGCTCTTGTGTAGTCAACCAGCTGATGATTTTCAATAAAATGTTATCATCTAGTTGACAAAGACCGATATTATAGTTTCTTTTATGTTGAACATGTTGCCTCGAAGGAACATTGATGATAGATGGTGATGATGATGATCTGCAAGGATTATTATCTAATGTATGATATCCAAGATCTATGGAGTCTGATGTTGGAGAGTAAAGTGACAGTTTCTGTAACTGTTGATTAATGGTTCGATCAGAGATTTGATCGTTGAAAGAGGAAAGTAGTAAAGGGTACGAGTTATCCATTCCATTCTCCAACCTTTAATTACAAAAAGCATCTATAAATATTGATATTTATTATTATTAATAATAAATTTATCAAATATAAAAACTTACTTTGATAACGTTGACGAGATAAATCAGCAGTAGTATGAGACATTAAGTCTTTTCTTTATAGTTACCACCATCTTGATCTTGCATTCCAAATATTCCACACAGCTGGAATGTGACTGAATTCCTTATTCGAAAGCCACGTCCATTTGGAGTGGTTTGTAAGTACAATTATTTTGTGGCTAATATTAACAATCGAAATGCCCCTAGGGCAACAAACTCATCACGATCAGTTGCATCTGCGGTAAAAAAAATGCACAAAACGGGTGTTAAGTCACCAATCGAACAGAGCCGATCACCGTCTCCGATTCGACCCGATCAGAATGTATTGTAGAAGGGGAACCACTGGACCCAACTTCTAGGGCCTCCGAGCAAGGCCCCTATCATTGATTTGCGCAAGCGCAAATACCGCTTGTGTCTGAAGAGTAGGAAGGTGTTTAAAAAAAACATTGTACGTATCATTTGTATGGAGCGTTCAAATACAATAGGAATTAGATTTCAATTTATGTGACATGATAAATTGTTAGATCATACTTAATTTGAATAATGCAACAATTGAAACCGTGACAAAGGATGAGGAAGGCATTGTGATAAATATTTACTGGCCTATTATTGAATTAATTGGATTTATTTAAATATCCAGTACATATATACATACAAGTATAATTACAAGAGAGAAAGTCAGAGCAAAACAAAATAGATTTACCATTTTTACATTATTAATAGTAACATTTTATTCATGTATGCAAGTTAATCTTCGGAAAATATCATACATACCATATGACTCTTTTATTAAATTAGTTTTTTAAAAATGTGAATTTTAATTTAATTAAAATTTAATATTTATAAAAATGAATAATAACGTAATTAATAAGTATTCAGTTCGTTTAATAATGCTATTTTATTTTGCATTCTCGTCATTATTTTTACATTTAGATTATTTAAATTACCAGTTAGTGACCTACAATCAGTATCATGAATACATAAATTGAACATTTATATGAAAAATTGACCCTTAGTTTAGCACCCAACAATTTGGGTACATTATACGTTGATTTTTATTCACTTCTCGTTAATTTTATTTAATATATCTAACAACAAAAATAAACACGAATAAAAATTATTATCAGTAATAACACCACTAACGACTAATTTTTTTAAAATAAAGAAATAAATTAATTCAAACAAATATTTGACACAACTATTGTATACTGATTCTTGATTACTTGTATCACACGTTCAGCCTCTAAATCTATTTCTCAGAACTTGTTAAGTAAGACAGAATATTCTCTCTAGGCGTTCGAAACTTACTCAGTTTCATTGAGAAAATCAATCAGAGTATATCCTGTGACACGTCTTTAGTTTATCAGCATCTAAACTGAAGAATTGAGGGGATCTTTGGAAATTTTATTGGAGTTTTCCGCAATACCTCCAAGATACATTTCTTCTCTTATTTTATCCTATATACTTTCTGTAAGGTCGTAGCCTATAGTAACGTTTCCTTGTTGGATAGTACGCATAAGAATATACAACTGAAACAAACATCAATAGTCGCAGAAAATATGACATTCAGAAATCGTTCTAACAATTGATACAGAATATTAAACAGTTCATTACACATTAAAATTAAACTAAATCTCTTATAATTGATATAATAAAGAAAACCATTTAAAACTTTTCAAAGTATGTCAGAAACATAATTCTATTTGTTGTTTGCAAATTTCTCTTAATTCCTTTAATGTCCTAATTTAATCTCTATTTATATTTTGAGCATTTTAACGTTAAGTTAATTGACTGTCATAGACATACATATGCCGCCTAATCATTTTTATATATTTTTTACAAAGGAAGAGCATGAACCAGAAGAAGTAGTGATAAGTTTACTTTTTGCAGTGACAAAGAGGTTGCAGAAAGTAATTATCATACTTTCCCTACGTACTCTTCATGTGATTGTCAAGGAAAAATGAAAGTCTCAAGTATCGTAGGAGGTTACGCTCTCGTGTCAGCTCACGTGGAACGACCTGATGGTTTCCTCACTTTCGTTGCTCTTGACGATATTATTAATATTTAAAGACAATATATAATGAATATTATATTATGTTTTAAATCTAAACAAAAGTCTTTGCAATTTTTAATAAAAAAATTTATTTATTCTTTGAAACAATAATTTTTTTTAAATAACATTCATCAGTTTTTTTTCTAAAAAAGATAATACTTCATTAATTTTCAAAAGCTGGATGAAAATGTGAGAATAAATAATCTAGATTCTATTACTATACATTTATTATATTATTAAATAAATTTGCAAAAACTTTTGCAGTAATTTATGAAAATGGACGAATTATAAAAATATACATTTTTATATTTACAAACCACTTAGTATATCTCGTTATCTCTATATTTGCAAATAATAATGAAATAAATTTCCAATCAATAAACATCAATGCTTCCTATACAAACTGGGATATCTATTTCTATAGTCAACTAATTTTCTCATCGCATTCCTTTTCATATTTTTTCTTCTCAACAGTGGAATCATCATCGATCGCTTCCAATTACCATAGTAGTTAGTAATTGTTTCGAAACCATTATCCATAGGAACTCCATAACTAAATGGTAAACCAGAAATAAGGTTTGAAGTATCAAGTGCATTTTGATGATCGAGAATTGGAATTTTCAGGGGTTCTAACGATCCATCAACTCCATAATTTAATTCTTGGCCTCTAAAGCTTTGAGCAGGACTTATAGGTAAACCTAAGTGAGGATTGAGTATTGTTTGAATCTCTGGATACACTTGTTGATTAGAATATGAGTTCACACTTTGTTGCAAGTTATTATTTTCAATAGAAGGTAAAGTGTGTTGTTCATTTGGCTGATGATGATTGTATTTATTGTAGTCAGTTAATGAGGGTTGATTGAGCACGTGGGGTGAATCATTTTGAAGACTAGTGTTGGGCTGATCTTTGTGTTCTACTGGTAAATACTCAGTGCTTTGATGAGTCTTTAGAGGCACCGAGGTTCCAGTTACTAAACCAACGAGTTTAGTAATGGGATTAGAGCCTGGGGAGTGGCTTAATTGATTTCCTCCTGAAGTTATTACACCCAATTGATGGTCAGATGGATTCGTTTGGTCTTCATGCTGACATGGATCCTCTATGTGATGATAATGGTGATGAACCTCCACATTTTTCATCGGTTTGATGACAAGTAGTCCAGCCTCCTTTTCTGCGTTGTCTGTAAATCGTATCGTCAGTCAGTCTTGTCTACTTTGTTAGTCATATTTTAGTTTTTATTTAATATGGTTACTTTTAACTACTGTTAAATCAGTTAATATATTTATTACATATTCAATAAGGCGTTTCTACTATTAATACCATATTATTTAGAAATCTCAAAATGAGGATAATTGGAACCATTGATGTTATGAATCTTTTTACTTGTTAGTAAACTCCACAAAAGATAATACCTTGCTAATTAGTCGGTTCAATTTAATTATAGTTAGGCAATGAAAAGTTAGTTTAATTCAATATCAATCATTTCAACTGGCAGGAATATTTATAAATATAATTAATTGTTATATATACCTTCTGATGGTGATTCATGCTCTTGTTGGTATTCTTGTTGATATTCTTGTTGATACTCTTGTTCTGTATACCCAGCATCCGGACTCGGTGGTGGACCATCATAAGTATAATCTGAATGTAAACAAAATTTTAGAATTTTTATTTCTATGAAAAATAAAGTTTGTTATTAAATTGGAAAAATATAGACTTGGATCTATTTAATTAATACCTTGGGCGTGTGGTGGATTGTAGGAGTATCCAGAGGAGTCGTAAGCAGGTTTTGGAGCACTGATAATAGCACTACTTGCTAATTGTGTTCCCAAAGAGGAAGTTGCCTCTCCAGCAGAAGATATAACACGCCCTGTAGTTTGGACGAGAAAACCACCACCTTTGATTAGATGTCCTTTAAATGCAATAGCTCCTCCAGCTAGTGCTTTCAATGCTTGAATCAAAGTATTTATAATGGCTTTCTTAAAGTCCCAAATGCTTAAAGGTTTCTCCTCATACTGTAATAAAAGTAAATAAATAATCAATATTTTAAAAAACACTATATATATTGTTTTAAAAAGTATCAAATTAATTAAAGTAATTGACAATACTTTAATTTTATTTACTTCTTGACCTATTTTTATAATTAAACTTTTCAATAGATCTTATAAATTTTTTTGCAACTCACTTTAATATATTAACTTACTTTTCATCGTTTGTAAATAATATTACAAACAATTATTGTTGAATAATTGAAATGAAAACCGATATTTATAAAAACCATTAAATAGTTGGAAATCCTTTGACATTAATTTTTCTAGAAGTTATTTGATGCTGGCAAATGTTTGCTCAGGACCGATGAGAAATGCCTGATTGTAAATTGAGTAAGTTGACTCGTAGAAACTGGCTCAAGAACGCCGATAGAAACGAAAAGAAAGGATACGAGTTGATCGCACAAAGAGAATGAGAGAAAAAAAGTATTTTGTTTGAATTTCCCTCCTTAATAGTAATCTAGTTCTGACCTAGATTGCCTACGATAGTAAACGACAGAGGCTTAAGATGAAATCAACTCAACTTATTGAATGATTCCTTGAGAAAAACGGAATAAAAATATATTACAATACCCCCGTAACTTTCAATTTTGCAAATTCTATTAATGTGTGCAATGAAAAAAATACTAAATAATCGGATTTCTTCAGCCCCAGAATGGACTCAGAACTAAACAGTATATTTATTTTTCAGTATTTTTCTTGAAGAGAAAAAAATACAACTTACTGCTGGAACTGGAGCTCCGTAGGAATCATAAGCTTGATGACCACCAGATGACCCACCAGATAACCCACTAGATAAACCACCAGATCCACCAACGACTCCATTTATTACTTTTCCAGCTATTCCTGATACAAAATCACCACTTCCTGATCTTTTTATTCTCTCTTGGGCCATTGCTTTGTAATTAGGGTCATTAAAAAGCTTGTAAGCAGTCGTCGCGAGCTCATCGATTCGTCTCATTGCATCGGCATTAATGAGAAACCTTTGATTTGGTTTTATAATAGTATCTTCATCTCCTTTTTGCTTTCGTTGTAATACATCTTGACTTGTTGTAATTGTTGCATCCTCAAGGACTTGTTCCAACTTTGGAACTTCTTGAAGATGTGTTTGGAGATCTTCTCGTGTCTTTCGAAAACTTGAAAGCCGCTTCAATTGGGCGGCTGCTCGCCTCAGTAATTCTTCCTCTTCTTCTGATTTGACTGCAGAAACTATAATAAGTGTCAGTAACAAGACTGACAGCTGAAAGTTGAAAGACTTTAAGTTATCTATTGAAAGAATAATTTCTGAAATGTTAGATGTTGTTCAAGAGTTAATTACTAGGTCAGTAAATCTTAATTAATATTAATTTTGCAGTCTCTCACCCAGTATATATTTTTAATCTTTTCAATATCCAATTTATTAAAAAATTATTAATTAATGATAAGATATCAGCTTAAATTTGTTCTTTAATTAATAAACAAACTCGAAGTTTTAAGTAAAAAACGTTGTAAAAATTCTTAAATAAGTTTTTAACAATCAAATTAGGTCTTGTTAAGATTGAATTTAAGTTTATTAGACACTTTAAGTGTATTAATAAAGTATAAAGTATTTTTTTATTAACAATAAATGTTTTTTAATATAATTGTTTGTGAAAAACTTTTCATAATAAAATATATTATTAGTCATTCAAGGAAAGTTGATTCAAAATATCGTATTAAAATCGTAAGTTTCTACTTTTAAATTAAAAAAGTGTCTAGATATTATTAACTCGTACTCAGTAGAGAAAGTTGAGACATAACATTGAATATGAATGTGAATTTTTGAAAAATACTTCTATATTTACTTCCGTTTCTGAAAATATTTGTTTGAGATGAACTAAAACTTTCTATCCAATGTTTGACGTTTGACGTTGCACAATGCATAATTTTCAGCTGTCGAGGTCAAAATGAATTATTTAATCTTTGAGACGGAAATGCCAGAGAAATGTACTGACACGTTTATTCATAATTACAGATATTAATTACGTAAATAAATAATATATTAGCTCACGTAAAGGACATTTTTTGCAACTCATTATATAATAAAATATTAAATAAATAAATTTTTCTCGAGAAAATATAATGTAGCAAAATTTCAAAACTATTCTGCTACAATATTGTTAATTTCATAAATGGTCTACACACCCTACTTAACACAACAAAGATTGATAGTAGTGTCTCGTAGTATTTTGATCACGAAACTTAGCGTGGAACATTACTAATTCGTACATGACTTCAGAGTTTCCATCATAACAAGAATATTAAGACATAAAAAGATGAGAAAAGAAGACAACCAATCTTTGTAAATTTCGGAAGCACTCGAGTGCTAACATGAATGTAACAAGTGGAGCGACTCAACTTCTCGGTGAAAGTCACGAGGATGATGCACACCAACTTACGTCTCAAGACACTCATCCTTGTTCCGTGATGAGACATCTGTCTTTTTCCTTCCTTCTGGTTCATCACCTCTGGGGTGAAAGAGCACAAATATGACAGATAATCGTTATACATAATCTATTGAAAAAACTTTTGAAAGTTTTATTTCTCTTGTCATTTTATACATTAATTCAGCTCCAATGTCAAGAGCGCCATTTATACTAGAAAGAACAACAACGAATAAAGAGTTTTTTCTATTAAGAAATAAACTTTTTTTTTGTTTTTAAGTAATTAATTAATAAGAATAAGCTAAGAGTTTATAAAGAAATGTATCACAGTTTTATTAATATTAAATGCAGTCTAAACATCCAATCATCTATCAAAAAGTCAAGTGTAGTGAAATTTAAAGAATTCAAAATAATTAATTTATAATTTTTTACCTTTTACTTCACTAAACATCAGTCATCTTTCTAATATTTTTTGTAATAAAAGCCGTGATCTACTTTCTAAAGAATCATATGTCGATAGAGATTTAATACATCAGTGAGAAATCAATATAACTTTTGTCAGAAGACTCAATTTTCTTCCTTTGATGATCATTATTTGTCAAGAATAGTAAAAGTGTTAGTTTTTGACCGGTAAAATTAACGCAAGTAAAACATAAAACTTTTTTATAGAAAAATCTAATCCGGTAATAGCCAGAGTACACATTCTCTTCAAGGAAAGGTTACGGACACAAGTGCAAGCAACTTTCTCATTCTAGAGAAGGGGAAACTGAAGATGGTTTGGATCAGAAGATCAATTAGAAATTATTTTGATTAAAAAATAATCACTGCAAATCAACAGTAAATTCGAGTATACTCCAAACTTTTCCATCAACCAAAACAATCTTCTTTCCAATCATCAACTTCATTTCATTATTTGACATCAAATAAAACCTTTTGAGTATACTGAGAAATATCATGAACAAAAGAATATATGCTGAGAAATCAACAAAATGAAACATTGAGAAACTCAATGAATATTCAAATTATTTTTTAAATATAATTCCACTCGATAATCTGCACTGTGTAATTACTAATAATCACTTATTAACGTTGGTTAATAATTTTTTCAATTAAAAATAAGTAGTAAATAAACGAACAATTCACTAGAGAATTGTGAGATTCGTGATAGTTAAACACTGCACATCCAAGAAAATTATGTAGCAATCAATCAGATCTGCAGTATAATAATCCGTCACGCGAAACATGAATTTTTATTCCGTACCTTCATGGTAAATCTCACGATGAAACACATCAGCAACTCACGGGCACTCTCACTTTACTCACTGAGCACGACCATTGCCATTCTACTTTACTTATACTGGTCCCCACTTCATTTAAACACGTGTGGATCCTTTAAAAAAACATAATAATAATAAATGCAGTTGGAAATTAATGTGAGAATTGAATAATATGCCTAATTCAAGCAAGTTTTTACTTACTTATCAACATTGTTTTAATTACTTCGTTTCACAGAGAAATGATTTTCAATAAATTAAAAGTTTGAACATGATTCTCTGTTCTTTAACTCAACTTCCTGCTTTGGATTTGATTCATTAATATCTTGAAAGCATTTTGAATAGATTTAATACCCAACAAAAGGGTGGTATTGATCGTTTTACTTTGTATTATGATTTGAATCAGCCAACTTTTGATAAAACACTTGGTTACACACGACAGAATATACATATGAAAAAAGTATTTGAAATCATTTTTGTTGTGGAAAAATATCACAGCATATGATGGTTTTTTCAAACAAAGATTATGTATTTTTTATTTCAAAATGACATTGTATTCAAAGAGATCAAATATTGTCATATTACAACTCTACAAATACTACAACAAATACAATAGTTTTGGGTAAAATCTACCACAATAGATTTGACTTTTTCCATTATTTGGGTGTTTACAAAAAAAAAAGACTTCTCTCACAATCATACTATGAAATCCTATTACCCAAACTGTTACAGTAATTTTCACTTACACAAAGATTTTCTCTGAACATAAAAATGTTTGCGATTTTTTTTAATGATTTCCTATGTACTAAATCTTTCTGAAATTTATGAAAATTGAATTTCTACAGGAAATCTTCTCCTTTAAAAGCAATGGAAAATTGCAAATAAAGTCGTCATTACTTGAGTGGTCATTTAAAAAGAAATAAGAAAGCCTTAATATCCATTATTGTGATTGATATTCCTTATATATACTCGACGAATATGGTGTGATACATACAAAACAACAGGTGTGCATCATTGTCACTATTCCGGCGGAAAATTAGTGAAGATTCGTGGTAAGAGCTTTAATGGTCTCTAATGAAGGTGAAATTTTTTACAACTTTGTTCTAAAAAATAAAAGATTTAGTATGCATGTTAAATTTTATTTCAAATAAAATTATTCAAACACTTTTTGTGTGATATCCATGTTAGAATATTTCTATTTTATAAATATTTGAATGATATTTTTTATAACGGAACTATCCTTTCTCCTCATCACTCCCAAATTTATTGGGCAGACTTCCAGCAAGAGTGAAATTCGGAGAAAAAAATACTTTCTCCATTTGTATTATGTAGGTAAACGTCTTTTGTCAATGAATATTTATTATTATTGAAATATGAAAGGTATCTTCCTTGATAATTAAGTGATTTTAACGAGTAAATATAATTCTCGAACAAGCAATGTTCATTACTGAAAGAAGGGAAAATGTAACTAGGAATGATTGTTTCGAAATAAATATAATAATGAAATTGTAATGCTTTTGATAATAGATATTGCGAAAGTGGTGCATTGCACATTCCTTAACTAGGCATAAGCAATATTGTCAATTTCCTCAAGTAGGTTGTCACATAATTATGGAAATGGTTCATGATTAATAAATAGCGCATGCAGTCTTCAGTAACGATAAGTAAAAGACACTTTACTCCATTTAGATACGGTGAAACAGGTATTGATTGTGGTCGTTATATTATTAATAGAATGTAACGATAAACATATTATTATATTAAGGAAATTATATTTTCTTCTATAGTTAAATATATTTGAAGTAATTATATTGACAATACGGAAGAAAAATTATTTGAACAATTAAATGAATAATATTGATCCTTTTCATGTGTTACAGAAAATATTTTCTAAAATTTTTCATGAATATTTTTAATCTAGTTTCAAATTGATATGATTTTTTTTTTTTTACTTTTCCGGAAGCCATTTTTAAACGATAAATTATTATTCATTTATTCAATTTTTTTATAAAATATTTTACAAAATCAACTTGAACTAATATTATTTCAATTTTTTCATTTAATCAATTTAAATAAATATTTGTTTTTCACTATATCTAACGATGTTTTAAAAAAAAACACTTTTGTCAATAGGCATCCTTCAATTGTTTTAATAAAAAATGTCGAGTAACATAGAGGTACTCTGTTTTAATTAGTCGAGCAACAGGTGAAAGAAACTTTTATGACTACCCTCAGTAGTTTAATGCAGTTCCAAGAATCAGAAAATTGTTTAAAATAGACCTCAACTAAAGGTTACATTTTTTCTCATATGAACTGCTGGTCTCATTTTTCTAAAGTGTATTATTTTGAACATTTCAAAATCGAAGTTGTCAGTCATTTATAAATATATAAAGACTGACGATAAAGTTATTAAAAAAGGTGACATAATGTCAGATTGTTTGATTATAAAATTGAAAATTATATCTTTAAACATTACTGGTCAGAACAGAATATTTATTCATTTATTTTTAGATGGTGCATCAGAGAAAATATCATATTCAATGAGTTCGACTGGAGTAATTAATATACCATTGTAAGAATAAATACAGGTGAAATAATATTCAATGAGCCAAAAATTTCAAAAACTATAAATGAGTAGTATTGTCCAGTGCTTGTTTTAGCTATAGTAGATTTTTATTACACTGCATGTGTTCTAATAATTGCGATATTAATTGCATCAATTATTTCAAAAACAGATATTGAACCTGTTTCAACAATAGAATTAATTATTATGTAATATTAAAAAAAAATACCCATTTAAATGATATTAATAGAAGTATTATTAATGTATAATGTGCTATGCTCTATTAAAACCAAGTATATATTGTTGGATAGATAAAATTAGTATATTACAAACGAAACTTTTATAAGTTCTAGATAGTAAATCAGTTTAAGTAGAGTTGAACAGACTATTTAATCGTGATAGAGTAATCAGTTTATGATTGTGAGATTTATAAGAGTTCAAACTTGATTTGGAGAATATTTTTTGAAAAAATATTTAAAATAGAGAATTAATGATGATATTGTTATTTCTTTTGTGCTTGGTAATTATTCTAATGTTTTCTAATATTAATAATTTATCATAAGTATATGTGGTTAGTTTCTGGGTAACTAATTATTCTCTTCAACTCTTTTTATAAATATCCTGAGTTATGAATTATTGATTTCTTCAATGAATACTAAATTTGTTAAAATCAAAAGTTCATGTGTAATAAATTGTTTCAATGATAGATAATCGAGTGAATGAAATATATGCTGATTCTATCAACAGCTTTTGATGTATTTGGCTGCATTGTGTAAATCTCATTTCCATTTTATGCAGATTCTTCACATTTTTTTATAGATAAAAATTAATCAAAACTATCGATTTTTATTTATCTTATGATCAGTATGTGAATGTGATTAAAAAGTTATTCAAGAACTTAATTGTTGAGAATGTAGTTAAGAAATTTATCAGTAGCTTTATGATTAACATGAATTTATTGCAGCCTCTGGTGAAGTCGTTTATCTATTCTTCTAAGTTTTCTATACAGCTATTTTAATACATAAGAACTTTTTTATATATTTTCATATGTTATATAAAATCAATAGATGATTATTAAAACATACATATTTTTAAAAAATGAAGGAACACAATGAAGTATATTCTAAAATAGTTTGGAATTAATATTTCTATATTAAATATGAATTTTTTCAGATGAACCACAACATTGACGGTTATTGGGATCCGTGGTTAAAAGTAGAAAATGAACATGTTCTGATTAAAAATGCTGAAAATTTTTTCCAACTCTCTTTTCACGTCGACAAAAATCCATCCCAAGAGATATCTAAAGATGTGGAAGACAGTAAACCATCTATATTTATTCATAATCAAGATAATTTGCTAGAAATAGTGGGCATAGGCCCATCAATGAATGAGACATCAGAGCAACTCGAAAACAATGAGTTATCAAATTCTTCTTATGTTATCAATGAAAATGGACAAGACACCAACGACAGAAGTAAGATTATTCAAGAATATTTTTAATCACTCCAAAAAAATGTTTAAAAGATAATCTAGGGCTTATGTAGTGTGATAAGTCTGAATGATTATTAGCATTTTCTTTGGTAGAATTATTGAAATAAATGCTCATTATTTTAATAATAATACTGAAATAATTCTCAACAGTCATTAATAATGCTTAACAAGTCACTGATGAATGAAAATAATGAATAGCAGATTATTTTATTAGATTAATTAATCCTATATAACTTGAAAAGTAGATTTTATTTTCAAAACTCACAGTAATTCTATAAATATGCTAATTATTCATTTCATAGGATGACAAATTGTAATGAATTTAAATAATGGAATTAAAAATTTAATACATTTCTATGATTCCAAGTTTTTCAGAGATATTTATAAATAGTTGTATATAGTATAATGCATTCATGCCAATTTACAAATCATACAATGCAGGGTCTTTAGTAAATATAACTCATAAAACACGGTGGAAAAAAACTTTACTTTTTTTAGAGTAAGAAAGATATTTATGAACAAATTTAACAAAGACTCAGTGCTTCTTTTATCTACACTTTTACTTCAAGCATAAATTTACCTAAAAAGTTTTTGAAGCAACAACAGCAATCTCCACTTAGTACTGTTTAGAAATTCAAAAAAAATTGGAACTATTGATAAATGTGATCTGTATGAATGATATGATTCATGGGTATTTCCCAATTAAATAAATGTAGAATGTTTTATAGATATTTTCTTTGATAATTTTTTGATTTAATATGAATTAATCGAAGACTTTAGTGTTATTTAAATAAAATTATCTAATATTTAATTATATAGTCTACGGTAACAGACATTAGTTAAATAGCAAAGTATATAAGTTTAAAAATAAGTTACTTTTTATAATCTTCTTTCTAATTACCAAAATCGATTCTCAATTTATGCCACGGCCAAGTTACATTCAGTTATCATTATTGAATATTATTGATATCAATTTAATATCACTAGGAAGTTAATAGTATAGCCGCCGGTTATCTTTATACCATGGTTTATAAAATTATTTTCAATTATTTTTACAGACGACATTTTTATAAGTGAAGAGATACAGAAAAAAGTCTGGGAGATATTTAATTCTAATACCACGACGGATCTTGTAGATGATGGAATAAAATGTAAGAATGAATTTGGAATATGTGAGGAAATTCCTGATTATCCAAGTTATTTACTTGAGAAAGAGCTAGATGCTAATCCAGCTTTTCGATATTTAGAGGTGAATGAAACAGATAAAGAGGTAAAGATATGTATTTTTTTTTTTTGCTATGACTAAATCATATTTTCAATTAAACTGTTGCACTAATTCGTGCTTTTTAATTTCAGATCTCAGTGGTTATTGGAAATAGATTTGGAGAACCAGATTTTCAACCTCTTTGTCATTCCATGGTAAAGTATTTTATTCTGGTATTCGTTAGTAAATTTTAATTAGAAAAACATGATTTCAGAGACAATATCTTCGACCAAAATCTGCTCGAACTGAGCTTGATGAATTATTATTCGTTGTCAACAACGAGAATTTTGTTCAGATCATTGAAGTGGAGATATGCAAGTAATTAAAAATGATATTTAAGAAAGCATAATTCAACGACTTTGTTTTACTATAAAAGTATTTTTTCCAGCAATCATCAAAAAACTTGTGATTTTTCTGAAAATTTTCCTGCGGGTTATACATCAGTATGCGAGCAAAAGTACGTCAATCGTAAACTCCTTGCCATAGATTCGTCGAAGAAGTTAAGTCCAAAAATATTCAAGATACCTGCAGGATGTTGTTGTGGAGTGAAGTTTAATGATGGTTTTTGACTTCCTGCAAGTGAATATTTAATGAATGATTTTATAAGATAACTTTATTAAAAATATCGATTATCGTCCCAGTATATTTGTGATTTTTTACCTTCTTTCACTTTTCGTCTTTCGTGATAGAAATTTATTAACTTTTAACCCAACCTTAAGCCAAGTTTCAGGACACTTGTGAATGTGGGAATCGGTTTAGCCCGCATACACATGGAATCTTAAGTAGATTTTCAGTTTTACAAGTCCACCTTACGGTAACATGCTTCTTTATATTTTCCCTTCAAAAGAATCACAATAAAGCTATAAGCAAATAGTTTGATGTGAAAAAAAAAATTATTTTTCTTATAGTTCACAGAAATATTTGTTATTTGAATTTTACGTAAACTTTGTTGAAAGAAATTGCGTCAAATACTATGTTGAGTAAATATTTCTCTGAAAGAAAATTTTTTCTTTACTTATAAACCTCAGTGATTGATTTTTATACTTTGGCAAAAAATGACATTATACAGTTAGAATCTCTCAAAGGTCCGATTTCGACAACTTTTTGGGGATTAAATTGTTTTAATCCTTACTTAAAATATTTAGGTCCATTATTGCCCCAAATTTGTGCTGTATTTTAGTATAAAATTTTATTACACCTCTCGGAAAAACCCAAGAGCTCCAAATTGTATGATTCAAGGACCTTTGAAAGATTTTACTGTATTTTAGAAAAATAATTGATTGTAAATTCAATAAAAAATTTCTACCTCACTAATTACTATGTTATGAGTGTATATACCTATAGAATATGTTTTCAATGTTAAATGAGTTAATTACTGTCAGAAATAGTAACAAGTGAAAAGTCAATATAAAGTATTTATTTACTAAAAAACAAATAATTTTTTATTTTATCGTAAATATTGTTTTTATGCAGTTAATTAAGAATTTTTAATACTTATAACAGAATGGAAAACAAATGAATCATTAAAATTTTACATACGCACACAATATAATTAAAGAATTAGCTAGGAATTATTGCTTATACTATGTAACAGCTGTTATTCAACAAGGCTTGGTATATTTCATCGACAAATTTTGACTTTACGAAAGCAAACAAAGAAAGGCTTATGCAGGACTCCACAGGGGGGCCAGAGTTTGTCCATTCACTTTTGTGAAAACTATGGGAGTACAAAACTATTGAACTTTGTAGTAATAGATCACGCAGAGATAATTTAAAATACGTGTCTTATGACTCGTCTTAAAATATAAAATAAGTATAAATCTCCAACTCTAAGATTTTCAATAGGGTATTATTTTTGGACTTCTTTCGGTGCATCAAAAATTATGAATACATGCAGTCTTATTTTTTATATTATAAATTCACTGTGATCTACTTTAAGTTAAACAGCCCAGCTGCAATTACATAATTAATTTTTTTAAAAAATATCTTTCAGTTTACCTAAAAATGTAAAATCTGAATTATTGTCTACATTGTAAAAGTAATTTTTTAGATTATTTATAAGCGAATTTTCCATTTAAAAATATAGCAGTAATATTTCTTCAAGAAAGCCTAATCCAGTTTCATTTTTACTTAGCAGCATTAGTACCAAAATAGCTTTTTCGGTTACTTTCCAGGTACCTACAATAATTGTAAAAGTGAGTGAGAATAACACTAATCTGCTTAATTACCATAAATCTCTTAACTTTCTTCACTCCGAAGAATTCAAAACTGGCTTTAGTCTAATAAAAAGGATCTTAGCAAAGGGCGAAAATACCTACTCTTCAGGTATTGAAGCACCACGATATTGGCAGATGTTCTTTCATTATCTATAAATTTATGATGCAGCGTTGACAAATTTATTTTCCACTCATACTCTATAGCACTACTGTAATGTACATTTTAAGTATAATTTCAAATTATTAATTTAAAAAATTATTCACTATTTGTGTAATAGTAAAATAGTGTAATTATTTTACTAGTATATACTTTATCAAATTAATTTATTTTAATTTTTAAATATTTAAGAAATATTGAACAATAGAAAATTTTCTAGATTAAGTTTCTTATACAGGGAAATTTTTCTTGTTTTAATAAATAATCAGTTTTTCCCAACAGCCATAAGTATTCGTGAGTATTTTAAAACGTTTCTCGACGATTTTCCCAGTTTTCTTAGAATTTCTCTAAGGTTGGGCTTTCTTCTACTAAGGAGGAGCGATGCCCTTATGCAGACCAATCCAAAATTTGCAACTATCAGAACAACTACCTGCTTGACCTTTTTGCCCTACCCTTATCCTCTCGACTCTGATGACCGGGGATGACAACTTTCTCGAACCTACAGTCCGATCCATCACACACTATTCGATCACCATTAGTTATCGAGCTACCACTGTGTATTTTTGCAATCGCTGTTAATTTTTCGTTTTCGTTGAACGCAGCTTATTTTGATTCACCATCTAGAATCCAGCAAATATCTTCAAGTTTCATCATGAATCCAGAAATTGTAAGTATATTTACCTAATAAAATTTTCAACTTTTCACTTAATTTTCAACAGTGTTTCTCTCTTAAACTCTAAAAGTATCCTCTTTAGAGTTTACTCTTGTTAATTGAATTTTATAAAATTACTAAAATAAAGTGTTTATTTTTATGTTACAGATGATTCCACTAGTTGCTAGTAGATACATCAAAAAGGAGGAAGATAGATCCTTGAGTGTTGATAGAAAACGTACTCAAGTATCTTCTGGTACAATGGCAACTGCGAAGAAGCCGAAACTGCAGGCGGTGTTAGAAAATGCAGAGCTGCAGATCACCTCGAATTCCTTATATTACAACAAAATAGAGGAACATCGCGAGGAAGGAATAAATCATGAGAGCAACTGGGTTTACGATCAAAGTGAAGATTTGGACTTCCATCCTAGCGATTTTCTCCGCCAGATGGACGCCATGAGAACTTTATCACAACCAACGGGTGAAACTTCTCTGTTACGACAAATTAAGCAGTGCATTATCCTGCTCACCATCAATAGGATCCTCAAGATAGAGAAATGTAGCATCGCCCAATCAAGGTCATCAGTGAAATCAAAGTTTTTGATGTTCATTACAACGAACATCAACCCTTCTATCAAAAAGTCAGCGATAAGATACATCACTGACAAGATAAAAACTAGATTGGACTTGGGTTTAGAATGGCTCAGCAAAGAATATGCCATTTTTCGCAGTTTGCACGATGACAAACCAGAAGATGAGAATCAAATTTCCTATAAGATTCTTTTCTGCATGTTAACAACGGCTATCTGCGAAACCAAAGAAGAAGACCGAGAACCGTTGATGACTAAATTGTATTTAGAAGCTCCAGAAGTACCGGACAAGGCAATTGAATGCTGGAAAAATATCATCCCCGACGAGAGAGGACTAGTTGTCATAGAGCTTCTGAGGAATATCATAATGAAGAGACCAGAGAAACTACGCAAATTCATAAATGTTTTACTTCAATTTTCGAAACATGAAATTTCCATTATTCGAAAAAGAGCCGTTGAAATATCCATGAATTTCTACGAGAACCCCACCTTTACTAAGATGATTGCGGATTTCGCTTTTCTCCATATTCAGTACCTCAGATTGGAAGCACCACCATCAGAACTTTTTAGTAAAGATCAAGGGAGAGAAAAGCAAGAAACTCAATGGACCAGTTCAACTGTCAGAGCCTGTTTGGCTCTCTACATGGGACTTGTGGAGAAATATCCACATTTTATACAGGAGTTGGAGAGAATGTTTACTTCCTTCCATCCGAAGGTCCAGAAGATGATTTTAAAATATATCAGAATTCCTTTGAAAGTATTTAATATAGCAACTTCTCTTCTTGATGTATAATAAATGTTAAAATTTTTGTTGAAATTTAAAGTATTGTATGAAAAATATGTTCTTTTATGCTGTAAATAATTTATAATGTATTACGTTTTAAATAATATTACTTAGGATAATCATTTTGTATTAAATAAAGTCTAAGTCTCACGAAAAGTGGGCTATTGAAATACTGACTTTTTATGTATCAACCTTGTCCTTTAATAATAATTTAGTTTAAGCTAAAGATAACTAGAAATAGAATATTAAATGAAACTTCTTTGGAAGTTAAAAGATTAAGAATTTCTTAAGAATCAAAAATTTTTTATTATGTATTCCAATTATTTAGTATTTAATAGTCTTTATCTCTAAAATATATAAAAAAAAAATTTTTCAGAAATTTCCTTATTTTAGGCAGTGAAAATAAATGATTAAAATGCAAATTTTAATTAGACATGATGAAATCTTTCAAATTTCGCATTAGATTTCTCATATTTATTCCAGAAAGATAAAATTAAAAAATAGAAAACAACAGTAATTTTTATGATAATAAAATTCTTTGGTTTTCTGATATAAAGAATTTCTTCTCAATAAGCCAAATCTTGTTACAATTCTAGGATAATTCCATTACTGCAACAAAATTTGAGTTATAATAACAGCATCTATCTGAAATTTGTTAAAATAATATACAGTATATATTACATATTATACACTGAAAAAATTCTATAATTACAGAAGCAACACCTTTAAAATTCATAGTAGTGCAGCTATCTAGATAGTTATAATGACTATCTAAGTATTATTAATTAGAGTAGGCATAAGGATTGTCGTGACAGCAATCTACTTAACCTATAATTTGGATTGTTCCTACGACTAGAATTTTTTTTAGTGTAACTCAAGTATTTCAGATCTTGTTTTTTCCCATGTACTAATTGTATGATAAATTGATGATCTTAAAATGGTTCAAATAATTGTCATCAAGATAGCGAAGAACCATCTTGATTAAAAGAACTTTCAATCAAAAAAAGTTGCATTAAAGTCAGTCCATCTTTTGAGAGCTCCAATGTTACAGACAAATACATTGACAAACAGAAGCTTCAAACTTATCACACCCTTCTTTTTGTGTTGAGGGTTAAAAATATTATAAATAGAGAAGTATTCTTGAAATCGATCATTTAAGTATCCAAATACTTAAGTGTAATTTTGTTCCTTGAATTAAATAAATATTGATTCAGTTTGAACAAATATGAATTCAATATATCAAT